AAGCAAGCTGCTCAAGTTAGTGTCATTGCTTGAATCTTGTGTTTCATCTCCATTGGGAGCATCCACCTAGCGACGAAAAAACCGGTCGTAGTAAATCGATCGTTCCAAGCATCAAATGTGAATCGAAAGGCGCTGTATTCACCGTCTCTCCGCTGATTACTGCGATCGCTGATGACCGCCGTTGCAAGTAGCCTGAATACCTTTTTCCAATGCAATACTGTAGGGAGCCAAATACATTCGATACTGTCATCAAGATAGCGTAGAAAATTTTCGGGATTTTTATATGCCTTTTTGGAAGCGTGCGAAATAATCAACATCTTCAAGTGACATTTGAGGAAGAAAAACCCTGAAGAAGCAATTTTTAATTAAACTTAAATTAGCCAAGACTAACTGAGGGATTTAGCGGAATTAGAGTTCATCGACAGAGTTGAGGCTAAGCGGTCATAGCGGTGACTTACCATAATTAAAGGATAGTTCGGTTTTTGGGAGCGCATTGCGGGACTTTCTATGTATTGTATTGGGCATAGCGTCGATGTTTTGATCTGTAAGGCAAAGAAATGGAAGTTAGAACGTACGAGAAATTAGTCGCTTGACATAAATCAAGCGATTGGTGATGTCGGTGTAGATTCTTCTCAAATTTTCAATTTGACAGCTGTTCGTGAAGATCGAATGCGTGGAGGGAGAAACAAGTTTGGCTCTTACTACAAAAGAGATCGAGCAGCTCGAATGCAACGAATAGCTCTTCAAGGAAGTAATCCTCAGACTAACTCAGGTGCCTTCTACACTCCACAACCAGCGATGGACCAACAAGTGACAAGCAGGTAGCGAATTAGGTTTTGGTTGCTGCCAATTAGCAATGCACTGTCTTTAACGAGGCATACTTTCAGTACGCCTGATCAGCCTCCGCACATTCACTACTTCGAAGGTGATCAGCACAAAGTGAAAACAGAATACGATGCAATGTTACAGAGCCCAACACTATCAAGTAGCACCCCATCTCAGCAGAGTAAATTCCCTCTTCTCTTTGAAAACTTATGGCTTCTGGCTTGTTTTCTTGAGTATTTTCACACATTTACTTGGGAAACTTTAGCATGATCGATCGATTTAACTAAGAATGAAATATAAAACTCATTACGTTGTCACTGGTGCACGCTCAATACCTCCCATTCGCTTTTACAATTCCAGACTTTATCATTCATCGACCGAATCCATATGTTCCTGATAGCGAAGGATTAGCAGCTCTTCTGGGGCAGTCCATAGACGATCCGCTCCTGAGATCTCAAACATTTCCAATTTACCCTACGATCAAGCCGGAACCTTTCGATTACGCAGATCACTACTTGCCAGCTCAGATTCCCGATTATTCAGCATTTCATACACCTATAAGCTATTCAACAATGATTTCCCACACAGCAAATTCCGTACCTCGAAGTGCCTCAAACTCAGGTGATTCTTACCTACTTCACTTCTTTAGATTGGTTCTTTCCTCACTTTTCCTATAACTGACGAACACATCTGTTCTTTTTTCAAGGTTCGAGCAGGTCATCTCCAGTTCTCCCGGTTTGTCCTATTCCTACAGAAAAGACTGTAGATGCATTTTATGTTAACAGCAATGAGATGGAGTGGCTATTGAGGGCTCTTCCTGAAAGTCCACGGTATGCCTTTCCTTTCTTGCTTTTTGCTTTCTCGTCGACAACTTTCCTTTAGAATTTTATCAATTCTTCGTAATGTGGACAAAGCTGACCCCTTCACGTACTCTATGGCTGTGGTGGAAGCAAACCTAAATGAGCTTGTTACTTGGGCAAAGAACGCTCCGTACTTTCCTCAACTTGAGGTTTGTAAAAAAGCAGCTCTTTTAAGTGTACTATTAGTTCCTGATTTTTTATTATGTGCGTGTTGCTGTAATTTTCATCATACATTGATCTTCTAAAGTGGCCATATCCGGTGTTAAGGTAACATCAAAACTGCTCCGTTCCCCTCAACACAATTACATACAATACCGCCTTTTGAGCGGCACTCGCAATTCACGCGCTATTCGCTAAATTGACAAAGCGCAAATGTGCCGCCTTATTGTATAGTGGAAACAAAACACCGGCACACCCATAATGTACAGAAAATAGGGGTCACTAGCGGATCAGAGTGCGGGACAGTCATGTGGCAGATATCACTTCACTCGCTACCGCAAAAGCACTTTCAGATGGAAGACCAAATGATGATCCTGCAGTCGTCGTGGGCCTCTATCCACGTAATCGACGTTAGCTATGCAGTTCTGAAGGGAGAAATCTCTCATATCGTGAAATTGTCCAACGGTGTCGAGTAGGTATAATTCTCTTCAAAAATATTTTTCCTATATTGCTTTTTATCCCATATGATTCGTAGCAGCTATATAAGCGATAGATCTCTCGTCGCAGTTTGCGCAACCTCATGACGCTATCTATTCCACATCTGATAGCTCTCTCGCTACTCAAGCGGCATTTTGCTTTCATCAAAGGTTTACGATCCTGATGAGGTCATGAGATACTCGCAGTTTAAGATTCCGAGTGTTCCTTTCAAACTCTCCTTCTCTAAAAATGGTCCAGATTACATCTAATCGCATTTTTTTCCCATCAGTGTACATTACCTTGATTTTAGCATTCCGACCGGACTTATTGCACTCATGGGATACCATGTTCACATTCACAAGTGGACAGAACTGATTGGCAGATTGCATGCACTCGGCTTTGATCGATGTGACTACGCAGCCTTCAAGTTCCTTGCGTTTTACCAGAAAATCGAGGATCACGGTGAGAATATATTGTCTTATATCCAACTGCATTGTAAGTTCTCGATTTCAGTAGAGGTCCAGCTGAAAAATCCACATCACATCTTGAAAGCTCGAGAGTCTCTTTTGGCTTCATGGGGTGCCTACAGAGGCACGTCCAATGCTACACTACTGCCTCACTACGACATTTTCGTGCAGATGAAGTGAGCGAATACTGTTGCTGCTTGTCACTTTCACTCCTCGTGGGGCACTGGTCTTGGTAGCCTTGGCTGAAGTGCCTATGCCGCTCTCCCATTCGTTCTTTAATGACCTTGAACGTGCCGAGATTCAGTGCGGATATGCTGCGCGCTTGACTTCCTCGAGTACCAATTAGTATTCAGGGACCTGTAATTACTGTATGTCATTACCGTAGCCCAACGGAGACATTCCCACAAACTGTAAAGGAACGGTCAATTTGCATATGTAGGCTGGCAACGCAATAGAGGCTAACCGGGGTCAAGCAATTAGCGCCTAAAGAGTGCTAAGAAGAAAGTAAGCACGAAGGGAACACTAGTTCCTTATATCTATCGCTAAGTTCTGGCGATGTAAGCATTAGAACGAATGGAGATCACTTTTTTTCATGACACATAAATGGGGAAATCTGAGATAGTTCATAGAGTGTGAGAAACTTTAAAATGTGTTGATTTTTTGGTTTGTGCATAAGGTTTTGGAAAATGACCTCAATTTTCTGTTGAAGTGACGTAGGTAGCGATTGACCTTGAAGGTGCATAGTCGCATAGTCAAGATGATTCAAATGTGAAGGTGTCTTTGGCATCCAAACCAGAATGACTGGGGATTTGAGGTACGTAAACAGTACTTTAATTACTTTAAGCATTGCAGAACGTTGGCTCAAGCGTCGCAGCACTTCCTCGTTGAACGCAGCATCGCCGGAGAAGTGCGACTCCCTCTTCTGTCAGAGATGCTAAATCCTCTTGTGAACCGATCACTTCCTAACTATGTACGATAGCTAACCTTTGATTGCTCGCCTTCCTTTCTATTCTATGTACGTTCTGTGATCAAGGACCTTTCGCAATTATATCTTAAAATTCATTTGGCATTCTTGCAATAATGCGTAATCAGCGTGGTCTTCTCCTTTTCATAAGTAGTGTCATTTCAGAACAATGCTGCGTGTCATTTATCAGCTATAATAACGCCGCAACGGTTATAATTCTTGTTTCTTTTTTCTATTATTATGTACCGATTTGACGCGGAAGCGTCGATCTCCTATGGCTTTTCGTTACGGGACGCCTGCCTTTACATATGCCTCTATTTGAGCCCACCGGGTTTCACGGTACTCTTACTAAGTTGCTGTTATATACATATCTGCATAGTCCACTCTACTTAAGACATTCCATGTGTATAGGTAAGAATTGAAAGCGTTCATCATATCCAATTCTTGTAGTCTCCTTTATCGTTCTGGTTGCTCGATTTTCATAAAACTAGATTGTTCAGCTTTCACAGTTCCTCACTTGTTTATATCTAACGGATAAATTTCTCTAACAGAAACATCGTCCAATGCGGTGGGCTTATGATGAAACCGTTCCACACCTTAATCTTGACCATCAGTCTGTGAATCCTGAGGTCTTCGTTATTGCCTACTACTTAGAAGAAATCGTTCTAATGCGAGTGTATCAAGGAGTTGTGTTCTGTCAGCTTTCTGACATAATTCATTCTATCAATCTGAAAAGTTGTTCAAATAGAAGTGCGTAATCACAGCTATGACCATATCGTGAGAGGTAAGACATAGTCTAACGCAGTTCACGTGTTTTTGAAGTCCTAAGAAATAATGGTGCACTCTCCTTAATGGAATTTATTATTATTTATCAGCATCAACAAGTAAAGTTTATAAACCATAACTAAACACCGGAAGAAGTGGAGCAATGCAGAGAGGTAGAACGCAAAAGAAGTTTGCAAACCTGAAAAAAAGGAAAAAGAAATCCTAAAATGTTCTGTAATAAGAGCGCTATTGTTTTCAGGTGTTGCAATTGTAGTAGAGAAGCTGTGCTTGTAATTTTCATCATGAGATATAATAAAGTGTTTAGTTAGTTTGTATTTGGGAGTATGTGTTTCTCTGCCTCTTCAATCAGTTCATTTGTCTTTTCGCGCACAGACCAGTTACTGATCATTATCATGTTAACAAAAGACAATGGGTAAACATGTACAATTTTTGCCGTGAAAGCATAGTAGGTCTGTTGCTCATTTTGATTGCGTTGAATATGCTCAGCGGATAAGCTAGCTCGCGTTCTAGCGTTTACAGCAGAAAACGCATTAATGGTAACAGCGAGTTTTTGGAGTGCTTAATTTTGGTGTATCGTTCTTGACAAATGTTTTAGGATTATGTTAAAAAAAGGTATTTTCACATCAAGGTTTTTATGAGGCTGTCGGAAGTTTTGCAAGAAATTTCCATCATTTTCTTATTTGCTGCAGTGACTAATCGTCTGATTATTTTCAGATCAAAATACTGACATTTTTGTACCAAAAGTAAGAACTATCGCAGATGTTTCTCGGGTATATTCTGGCAGTAATGAATTAAAATCCAAGTCGTATTAAAAACTATTCTTCGCTTAGATGAAGCGTCAGCTATTTGAGTCAATAGCCTAGTTAGATAAGCTAGCACCTAATGGATATGGTCGATAGAGAACGTATGTTTTCCAATTTTTTAGAAGCTTCAAACTGTCGTAAACATCGATGAAAAAACATCAAAAATCTTTTTTTAAAAACTCTATACAATTTCAAGTAAATTCTGCAGTTGATGGGTCGTTGTTGTGTTGCACATAAAACGGCACACCAGAAGAGACCATTTCATTGCATTCCGCCAGTACAGCAAAAATAGCTAGCCTTTTGTGTTGTTACATTACATTGTTTGGTCTAAGATCAAGTTAGTAGCAATTTGATCTTAGAGCATACGAGAATTAGTGCTAACGCAATATCGTAACTTCGGAATTGTGACGATTCAAAAACAGAAATTGCCTGGAGCTGCTGTTGTGAGCTTGTGGCCAGCTACCCGTGCTATGCTTGATGATCCTCATAACCTGCGGCGAACGGTTTAGGGTATTCATCGGTAAAGTGAAGGTGCGTGAGTTTGAAAAGAACTTTGCAAGGCTTTCAAGTAGGAGGCTCAGAAATAGAGAATGGTAGACGTATTACATAACGAGACAAATTCGTGAACGCAATACAGTGTATTAATGTATAGTCAAATTTTCTGCAAAAACCTCTTTAAGTCATGAAAATGCCTTGCAACGATATGAAACAAATTCATAGTCGCGTATCCGTACATTATATTGCTTGTAATTATTGCCAGTTGGTAAATATATCTATAACAGTGATAAAGATGATAAGCAATCTGAAAAGACCTCTATGGGGTTCTATTACGACAACTCAATATTTGGGTAAAGCTTAGGCTTTCACAAATAGCCGTTGAGTTTTTTTGACGAGAAGAAAAAAGAATTTTTCCTTAGACTTTTCAGAAGAGAAGTTTAAATTTGCTTATTGTTAGCTCA